CCTTTGACAAAACGAATGAAAAGGTTTTTCGTTTTAATTAGTTGTTGTGCACATGTCTAACATCTAATGCAAACCAATGGACCTCCATAAGATGTGATGAGGTCAGCGGTCCGTAGACCACCGGAGCCCAGGGGAGAAGAGGCTGTGGGGACCGGTCTAACATCCCGGCAGGAGAGAGGATCAGGTGAGTAGATCTTCTTTATTTGAGCCCCCTAGACAAAATTAGCACTTAACCCCATGCAGTGCCGGGAGTAGCCCCACTGCAAGGGTAAGTTTTTAGTTTCTTCTTTAAATACTTATTTTTGATTGGTTGTTGTGGAAGATGAGGCCGCGTAGCTGACACAGAAAGGAACGAGGGAGAGTAGGTGGTTTCTTAGCTACATATGTATATTGTAGGTTGCAGGAAGCATCAGATATGTTAGTGTGTGTATATATATATATATATATATACAGTATATATATACAGTATATATATATCACCTGCACATTGTGTTCCTGTTATAAATTCCTCTCACCAGGGAGACACATGAAGGTTAACTTGTAGCTTGGTGTTCAATGACACTGCAGATCTTATGTAACCCAGTGAACTGGTTACCTGGTATTCTTCTGGCAATAACACGTGATTAACAATTTCACCGCTGGCAGAAGAAAGCTGCTCCAGTTTAAGGTGCGTTATCTTCAAAAAAGTTTTTTTTTTAAATACCAAAATGTAATATAAGCAGATTCGGTCATTATATCAAATCTGCTTTTTAAAAAAAAATAGGAATCTGTACTTACTGGTGTATTTATCATAAAACCTGCAATAAGCAATTATTTCCTACTATGACCAGGAATCACAACCGGAAATAAGTTATTTCAGGGAGGTGCCCTTCTCATTTCAGGGAGCCCTCTGTCTGCCCCTTCTTTGCTATCTGCCATGATTTCACGGGGGGTAGGGGGCAACAACAAGGAAGAGAGCATCCCCCTGAAATGATGGCAGATAGCAGAGAATATAATCCTTCCTTTTTTGTGTTCTGACTGCCGTCAGGAACTAGATCGAGCAGAGTAAACCTTTCGGGGAGAAAATGTTTCTCTCCCGGGAGTCCGGGAACCGCTATCTGATAGCGGGAGACTCCCAGAACATCCAGGAGAGTTGAGATGTCTGTATCACCCACATTAATTTCCATTCGTCTGTTTTCTGGAGTAAAATCTCACTGCTGCTGTCAGAAAAAAAAAAAAACACAGCACGGAAAGGTTTACTCTGCTAGATCAGCAGAGTAAACCTCTCGGGGAGAAAATGTTTCTCTCCCGGGTGTCCGGGAGCCGCTATCTGATAGCGGGAGACTCCCAGAACATCCGGGAGAGTTGAGATGTCTGTATCACCCACATTCATTTACATTCGTCTGTTTTCTGGAGTAAAATCTCACTGCTGCTGTAAAACAAAGAAGGAAAGGAACTTCCTTCTGTTAGCATACCAAACAGTATGCGTAAAAAGAGGAACTCCGGGATTTTCAAAAGTTAACCCTTGCAGTGGGTCTACCCCTCGCACTGCAAGGGTTAAAGTGGACCTTTAAACTCAAAAATCAAATTCTACCAATGCAACCCTCTATGTGTGATAATAACATATACATGACAGGTGTAAAATGCTGTGATTACGAAATACTGACACTTGCAGAGCATTCACTTCCTGCTTTGAAAGGGCAAAATGACTTCAGTTTGCCAAAGCAATGCACACCGGGATTGCCTTATCAGTAGAGCATTGCTGGGAAATCTCATCTGTAATCTCACGAGATCTCAGGGAAAGGCATTTTCCTTCCCTGAGATGATGTGCATGATCACATGTCCTAGTCACATGTGCCAGAAATCCAGGAAGTAAAAGTAGACCTAGTAATCTGCCCTTCGTAAACATGGCCACTGTCGGAAGACTGGGAAAGAAAAGAGACATAAGGTATGCAAAGAATACAAAGCCGGGAATTACAGGTATCTAGACGTATGTGTTTATAGATTGTCATTACTAAAGATTTCTGAAGGTGTGTTTGTTGTTACTTTAAGTGCTCATCTTGGTCTAGGGGCTAGAATAAAAGAAGATGCAGTATACTCACCCGATCCTCAATCCTCCCCAGACCATGGCTCCCCACTCGCTGAAAGGCCACTGCCCCAACCCTGGACCCTCATATTAAAAGTCTGATGCTCTACCGACTGAGCTATCCGGGCTCTGAGATGCTCTGGCGGACAGCGATCCAAGCTGCTTGCTATTGGACGTCTACAGCGGAAAAACCAGAAAAATTGAGAGACAAAAGAAGCAGTGAGTGGAAGCGGAAGCTTCAGGGATGCCAAGGCTTGCCAGTCCTTCCCTCCCATCCATTATCCTGGGACAGATTGGAGAAGGAAGAAAAAAAGGGAGAATTTCACCTGCGAGCGAGAAAGCTCGCCTTGCAGATAGGGTCCATTCCGGTAGGGGCAGAGATCGCACCAACTTTGGGACTTAGTTTTACCTACCGATCAGTGCTCTTGCACCGAGAGCAAGGACCTTGCAAAAAAGCCACCGCCGCAACGGAGACTTTGTCCCTGGAACCAGAGTTCCCAGGTCTGATGCACTAAAAGAAATCAGCTTGGGGCTCTAACAACTGCCTGGGGGTGACAATTCCTAGAACTTGATACTTTAGGTGTCTGAAAGAAATGTTGGTGTGGACTTGGTTGCTCGGCACCTTCCCGCTTGAAGTATTCTTTATTAGTGACTTGATTGCAAGTAAAGCAAGCTCGCCTTCACTCACGTTGTGCCAGGTCCAGTAGAGGAAAAGTGGGCATACGGCGGGGTATTGGGAATAGTTTTCAATTAGCAATAATCACGCCTCGGATGGAACTCATTGGCTATGATACTGCCACTGCGCAAAGCTAACCCATCCAGTGCCAACCAACAGGGGTGCAACTAGAAATCACAGGGCCCTATAGCAACATTTTGTATGGGGCCCCCCCTAAACTGCCCCCCCCCCAAAAAAAATGGAAAAAAAACCTTCCTCCAGCACATGTTCCCGTGCCTGTGCCATCTCCATCTCCTTCTTTTCTGCTCTGCTCCTGCTGGCTATGATGTCAGAGACAAAGAAGAGATCACTCCACCAATCAATGCTGCACAGCCCACCATAGACCCTGCAGAGCTCACCCGAGACCCCCACGCAGCCCACCAAAGACCCCGTACAGCCCACCTGAGACCCCGCTGCTAGGCCCCGGCCTCCTGCTCCTCCACCTCCTCTGCCTGGCTTCTTGCTCCTCCACCTCCGCTGAGCCCGGCATCTTTCATCGCCGCTGCCACCGGGCCCAGTCTCCTGCACAGCCGCTGGGCCCCAGTCTCCTTCACCGACACCACTGGGCCCCGGCCTCCTTCTCTGCTGCTGAGACCCGGCCTCCTGACCTGGCCCCCCCTGACCTGAGCTCCATAGCAACCGCATATATTAATTCGTTATTTTGGATTTAGACGAATTGCCGAATCAACGGCATTTAGTGATTCAGCAAGTTCGTCCGAATCTGAATGTCTAGTATTTATAGTGCAGGTAGACAATATCAGCCTCCCGGAAGAGGGAGGGTAGGGATAAGGTGCTAGTCAGGTCTGTATGTGTTGACAGTGAACACGCTGACAGGAGAGTGAGTAAGTGAGTGATGACCTCATCAACGTGCTTCTTTTTCTCTGGGGCTGGGGGCATGTTCGCAATCAATCTGTGCTGCTGCAAATGTTGAGAACCTGGCTGTGCTGTCTCCAACCGGTACCTGGATCACAAGGCTGGAACCACAGAATGTATTGATCATTTGGAAGGTAAAACTCACCTCATGTGTATATTTTAACTGTGTGTTTAAGGTTTGCCTGGAGTTTAGCTTTAAACTGCCGGGTTGTAAATTCCTGGCCATGAGTCCCATACAAGAATACTAACAGCTGCCAACTACAAGCCTTCTATAGCTTGAAATTATATCTAACATTGATGGAGTTGTAAAGTCCAAGCATATACTACCCTGCTATAAAATCAGCGTTGTAATAGGAATACATACTAGGGCTGTTTCTGATAATACAATCAAAGCTTACATGAAATAATCCCTTTTATGTAGTGAGTGCTGCCTTCCGTCTGCCCATCACTTTCACCAACTTCCTGGATTCCCAGTGTGCTTTGCGTCTCTTTCCCTGCTGCTTCATGTGATGCAATCGCCCTTTCTTAAGATCACATATCCCATCATGCATGGCTTCCAGCAAGCAGTGATAATGTTATATTATTCAGATGCTGAGTTGTAGTTCAGAAGGCTGACAAGTCATATTCACAGAGCTGAGTGAAATTGTGTTGAGTGCATTGAGGAAGTACATTGGTCATAGCCCAAGAGCCTGACAGCAGTACGAGAGAGAGAGATGGGGACCCAGCTGCATTCCTGATCCTGCCGGGTCAATATCCCCTCCTCTCCTTGCTTGGGTCCATCACCAAGATGTCTGCGGGCAGTGAAGTACATCACTGTGCATGCGTGATGACGTCACACCACAGACGCCATCACGCATGCCCGGCGGCCACACCGGGTGATACCCACCCTGGTGCCGCCGCTGACCTCAGCAAGCCCATATAGGTCAGGGTCCCTCAAACTTTAGGCCATGTAGTGTTATTTGTCCTTTTTTGCATATCGTAGCTTACACGCCCCTTTGCATAAAATAAAAACACACGACTCAAAAGGATTTGAACAAATAAATAAATTATATATTAAAATTCTTCTTTTCCCATCATCATATACATTTATATACAAAAAAAACAACAAAAAACCGTATACAATACAACTGTACAGAACTTAATATTTACACCCTTCGAGGGGGGAAAAAAAATAAAAATCTCTACAGGTTCAGGCAGATGGTTTTGATTTCAATACTGTAATACAAGATTGGCTAATTTCTACAGAGAGCGAGAGAGAGGTCAGCGAGCATTTAGATAAGGCCTAAGTGTGGTGGAGATAATATCCTGTGCAGCCGTGAAAGCGATTTCAAGTATAGAAGAAAAAGATTTTTTGTTTTATGTGCCAGTTGCAAATTAAGGCAGATTGGTCGCCAAAGATCAGGCTGAACGTCTTGTTTCACAGTTCTCTTAGGTAGCACCACTTTCAACAGTTTCTATTTTCACGTAACCGAAAAATTATTACTAAAGCTTAAGAAAGAGCCAAACTTTTCCAGATTCCATAGTTCAAAACTTTTTTTTCTCCGTCTGCCGTCATGCCCTGTGGGATACAGGCAGTTGGCTCAAGCAATGACGCCGGACAATCCAAAGCTGTGCAAAAAAAAAGCCACAATGCAAAATAATAAAAAAAAACTAAATACAGAACACTTGAGACGAAGAACAAAGAAAGTGCAAGGGGAGGTACGTGGATTTTTTTTGTTTAGGGAAACAGGGGATCAGAAGCAAAAGGTGGTGGTGGACGAGGCACTTTTGGGTGATTGGCGGCCTGTTGCGGCTTGCTGCCTTGTAGTGGGAATGCTGAGCATGGGTCACAAAAATGGCTTTACTCCGACCCCGAGATGTTGAACCTCAAGGCAGTAAACACTTCGACGCCCTGAGGAGATCCCAATGCACGCTATTCTCTACAAAGCTTTGTGCGCTATTCCTTCTTTTCCCTCCAGTTTCAATTTATTTCTCCACGTTTTAGTGTTTTTTTTTAAGAACGGTTTTGTGCTTTTTAAAACATAACAAAGATAAACCCCAGCAGGTACGTCACATTCAGTCCTTCATAGTCCTCCAGTGCTTTTATTATTATAATTTTTTTTATGTAATGTAACTTCCAGTCTCTTCCCGTCCCCTCAGACACCTCATCAGTTTTCTCCTTCGTGGCTCGAAGAACCCTTCACATGTCAGAAAGAGGCACCGAGGTGGGACAAAGTTGGCACGACTTTGAGAAAGTGTCTTCATAAATAACCCAAAACAAAATTTGTAACTAAAGTTCACATACATAGTGGATGGTTTGGTTCATAAAAAAAATAAAATAATAATAGTTCTGGATAATCTCTGGGCTGTGCCGGCTGGCGCAGTGGTTTGAACGGGTATCTTTTGGTTACTTAGCAGTCATTGCCCCTGATATAGTTGAGCAGCAGAGTTGTGGTGTTAGGCACGGTGGTCGAGGGTTGTTCAAGCAGCATCGTCTTCCAAACTCACCATCTGTCTCTGAAAAAGAGAGCAGGAATCGCTGATTTAGCACATGGCAAAATACTCAGAAAACTTTAATTCCACCCTTCTGTATTTGGATGTTAACATGGACGTTCTGGGAGGTTAGGTTGCAGAATAATAAGGTGTCACTTACATATATATCCTGGGATAGCTGAACATAGGGGAGACAAACTCCTGACAGAAAATAGTAGGGACCAACCAGATCTAAAACCAGGTTGTAGGCCATATGTCACTTTGCTATTGCAGCTCTTTAATGTGTCATTCTCAAGTCACTATCATAACCTAACCATCTAGAGACACAATGGTAACAATTAAAGCGCAGGCTCTAAATATGGCACCTCCATAATACAGTAAAACTGCCATTGTTATGAGAATCATGTTCTGTATCTACCGCCTCTCCCTTTTTCCTATTTTAATCTAGAAGTTGGTTGCCTAGCTTTACAAACCAATTGTAAACCATCCTATTCACTAGGGGCTCTATTGAGGACATATTGTCCTTTGGCCTTGGTGTATTATCTACTACGCATCTCATCTATTAGGCTTTCAACCATACAACATTATCCAATACAACATTATCCAATATATTACCGATGGGTAGGTGTATCCATCCTGACTTCTGCATATGTGGATCTCATCGTCTTCTGTGGTTTTCTGGTACACAGGATTGTCAAAGTGGATAGTGTTGGTGTTCTTAAGCCTCCAATTTCTCCATACCAGGAAGCCTCCAAAGGCGAGCAGGCAGAGAATGACTGGAAATAAAGAAAGAGACTTTAGCTTGATACAGAAGTCATATCTCCACAAGTAAAATTCATTACTGCTGGATCTCATGATCATTTAAAAACAAATATCTTGCTGGACCCAAAGCAGAGGGCAGATCATATCAGAGCAATCTAATTGGACATTTTTGACTATATCACAAATGTTTTGGACCAGAGTGCTGCTAAGGACATATCTTGATTTAAGCAAAGTTCGACATAATGATCTCATTATGATCTCATGAAAAAAAAAAAATGTTATACGAGCTTGGATTTAGCCCTTGGGTGCAGGGGTGTAACCACAGATCATGGGGCCCCATAGCAAAATTTTGATGGGGTCCCCCAGCAGCCTCCCTACTGTCAATGATTTTAAAGTCAGGTAGCTGGAGAGCTGCCTGTATAGTCCCCACCCCTACCCTCCACCCCGAATATCTGATGTCAGCTCTTCTTGATTAATAATGTCAGCAGCAACTTCTGCAATGCTTATTGGGGCCCCCTTCCACCTCCAGGCCCCATAGCAGCTGCATGGGCCGCTATGGCTATTGTTACTCCACTGTTTGGGTGGTTCAGTGCATGAGAATTTGGCTAAGGGATAGATATCCTCTGTGGTTGTTCATTCAGTACAGAGACCAGCCACTAGTGGTGTACCACAAGGCTCAGTATTAGGTCCTGTTCTATTTACTCTGCTTGTAAGGCTCCATTCACATATAGCATTTGCGTTTCCCGCGCGGTTTTCCTTGCAGAAGACCACTCAGGACGCAACGCTATATATGAAACAACTGCACGGATTCCGCTCGTTTGTGGCCATTATATGCAATAGTCTGAACAATGCACATTGAAGTGCATTGTTTTTTCTGTTTGGAGCAGCTCCGCGCATATCCAGACAGCCGCTCCAGTGTGAATGGAGCCTAAATGGTCAAACTGAAGGTTTAGTGGGCAAAGCATATCTTTTTGCTGATGATACAAAAGTGTCAACTAGGGTTTATATTCCTTATCACCAAAATCTATCTTAAACCGTCTAATCTTGCTGATAATTAATTAAATGTCTTAACTTATCATATACATACTTATTTCACTACTGCCATTGATAACTAAGCTACTAGAGAAAAGACGTGCCGAGAATTCCCACAGATGAGTTGTGAGCGCACATGAGGCAGCATAGATTAGCTCTCCACTGATGGCATGTGTTGCCTGTCTGTTGGGTTGGTTCAATAAACAGTTCTTTGATATAAAGAAGACTTATACTGCTATGAGAATAAACTGAAACACAAAAGGAGAAGTTACACTTACCAACAGGAATGACGGCATAAATAGCATTGGAATGGGTACGGAATTCTGACGTTTCCATTTTTACGTCAATGTTGTTCTCCACTGTAAGAAAATACATGGCAAAGGTTAGTGATATGTTGCACCCATGCTTGCAGTGGTGTGACGCTTAATGTCTATTAAGTTTTATGTCCCCACTCATTGTTGTCTTTATGTTTGCATAATCTGTTCTGAGTCCACTATCATTGGAGTGTTCCTAGCTGTTATCATAGAATAACAGGGGAAATAATCAGCAAATAACATGACTCTTCCATGAAGTAAAAGTTCTGATTAATATGACATTTTGGTGGCTCTTTTGAAAAAGATTTAGAACTGCCATGGTCTTTTTCATAGCTGGTCCCATATATGAGCTATCATTGCAACCTCCTATCAGAATGAAGAACAATTAATGCATTTTCCCCAGCTGTGTATATTAGGGCTGACCGGCTGTCTCAGCCGCCAGAACACCTCTGGAAAGAGAGGCAGCTTAGCTGGAACAGACTGCGGCACTAATAGTCCTGCAAATGTATGAGAAATTACTCAATATTCTGTCTGCACAGATCTAAAATATAGCCAGTGGCTGCTGAAGAAAAATTGCTTATAGGGACTGATATGAAGTTTTAAGACACTTCATTCTTCTCTGTGTCAGATCAGACTCATTGTGATGAAGTCTAAGTTTGAAGACCCAGCTCTTTCATAAATGAGGACCTATGGCTTGGATTACATCGGATACTAAAAAGAACATCTTATGAGTTCTACTACAAGAGATGCTGGAGGAGACTGGTACCTGGATGTGACACTGTTGTATGTTCTGGGGTAGTGAGTTCAGGATTTGCTTTCTCAGTCTGAGGCCTTTCGGTTTTAACGACTGGTCGGCTTGTGGTAAATGAAACAGTGGTTGTAGGCCTTGTGGTTGGCTGCTTGGGCTTGACAGTAGTGGGCCTCCTTGGTGTAGATGTCATCTTGGCAAGAATAGTACTTCTGGGAGTGGTGACCGGGGAAGGCGTTGTCGTGACTGGAGTGGAGGTGACGTTAGTGGCATCTCGAGTAACAAGTTCTGAAGAGACATGAATACATTAGTGACACTCCTCGGCACGTCTACAGAGAATTCATAGAGAAGGCTTTCTCTAACTTCCACATCATACTATTGCTCAATAACTTACCTTTCACACAGCTCCTCATATCTGGCCCGAGGTATTCTCCATCAGGGCAAGCACATGTGTACTTAGGTGGGTGTGTGCCGATCTGTGGAGCAGGCAGGCACAAATATTCACAGCCGCCATTGTCAAGGTGGTGAGAAGCACACCAGTTATCACCTGAAGGTTACAAAGAATGGAATACATAAGATACAATTAAAATAAACATAGTTGCATAGAAAAAGTTTTTTTTCTAAAGCACTACAGCAGTTTCTTGGGACATTCCCTGTAAAGTGTTATCTAAAGTCAAATTTAGCTTTAGATACGCTGGTGAAGGGTAATAACCCCCGTTGGGATTTTATCGCTGCCTTTGTCTCCGCTAAGGATATTCACTCCCTCTACAAGTCCTCACCAAGACTTAAAGTGAGGGAAAAATCCAAAATTTTAATAGGTCACCAGAAAAGGAATAGAGAAATCTTCCAAAGAAGACACTTCATCTGGTGACCACTAACGGGAGATTTCCCTTCACTCTGGGGAGACTTCATCTCCTTTCCTCTTGTGTCTACAGGCTACCTGAAAGAAAATTTCCCTAAAACGGCACACATGGCAGTGACAGCGGTTTTCATCATTCTCCAGTTTTGGCTTTAGATACACTTAGCATGAGAATCTTGCCATACATTACAACATATGCTTTGTTTTTTCTTAAACATACTGCCCCCAGGAAGGATATCACCCCCTCTTTAATTCCAGTGCAATTTAAAGTGCAAGTTCGCCCTAGAATTAACCATATCAACATGTAACAGCCATATAACGTAGGTACCAAGGTAAATGCATAGCATCATGCTTGACTTCAGGGTTGCATGGTGTCACTGGTAAATAGCCGCCAGGTTTCCAATGCTGTTTGTTAGAATCCAGCGCGCGGACAGTAGTCAAACATGGTGCTGTGCATTTATCAAGGTACATGTGTTATATGGCTGTTAAAAGTTCATAAAGTAACTGCAACATTATATAGTTTTGTTGCCCTTCCACCTTACTGTCCCATTCCAGAAGCTGAATTTCTCCTTACCTTCAGGCTGTCCTCGGTTGTGATACAGGACAATGTCTTCTGGGGATTGAAGGTCTGCAGCAACCTTTACTATTTGGTTTCCCGTCAGTCTGTTTGCACTGAATATAGCTTCATTGTCAATATCAGTCCAGAACACAAGATCCTATAAAATGGAGAAAAAAAAACAAACAATCAGGTTAGTGAGAAGTCAGACCAAGCAAAATTACCAAAAGCCAGTCAATATTTGTACCAGAACAGTACAACCTGTGACCCACGGTGATATCAGACAAAGATAAATATGCAAATATTGACAGAGACAGGGGAATGCTGAATAGTTATTTGGATTAGATACAAACAGTCGGCAAATGTGGTAAGACTTTAATGTGTAGTCCTCTTTTTGTATATAGAGGTAGGCTTGTGATACACCTGTAGACCCGTCTGCCTGAGTGTTCACCTTTACAGCATGTAACTGCCCATGTATGACCTTTCATGATGATGGCCAAATCTGATAGACATCAGTGGCCCAGGCAGGTGGTGAAATAGTACAAATGGTTTCAACACTTGCACAATAAAATCCTCCAACCAGCTAAAACATAACCGATAGGTTTTTGGCTTAGGTGTGTTGCCATCTAACCATTTTTTTGCAGAAAATAAGCTGCCCAGATCTGAGGAGACAAGAAGCAAATGTTCTCAAATGATAAGGGATTTAATCTCACCTCAAAGATGGTGAGACCAAACGGGTGAGATAAGTGTTTTTCATCGGATATGACCATCCTTCTGTTTCCTCCAGCAACATCGATGCTAGATAGAGTATGCAGCTTGGAATCCACCCAATACAGCCGCTGATTGATCATGTCTAAAAAGTAAACAAACAGATTTATAAATTATTAATGACCACAGCACTATCAAGCACACATTAAACACACACTAATGGGCAGCTATAGACCTATACTTCACTCACCCAGAGTAATGCCATTGGGCCACTCAATGTCGTCACTAACAAGAGTTTGTCTGGCAGCGCCGTTCAGGCCTCCCTTCTCAATCTTGGCAGGAAAACCCCAGTCAGTCCAGTACATGAAGCTGAAATACAAATATGAATACAGATATAAAGCTACAGCCGGTGTGTACAAGGAAAGTAATACAGCTAGATGTGGCAGCTCTTCTATCAGAGCGGTTGTAAGCGTTAGAATCTAAAGTCAACCACCCTCCTCACAAGCTCATCTTTCCCACTGCCACCCAAAAGAAAGTCCCACGAATGCTTCAAACTGACTTGTCAAAGCTTGCACAGGGCTATGGAATCCTGACAGCACTGGACCAATCGCAAGGCACCAGCCCCGTCCCATTGGAGAGGTGGTGTGAGTCACACGCTCACTCATACCTGGAAGCACCAGGTTTTTTACATTGTTTTGCACAAATGAAAGGAGTAGGGCAGCTGGAAGGGAAAGGTGAGTATATGCAGCTGGGGAAAAGGGGGAATTAAGTGACTATTTTCCTTTACCCATGCAGGGTGAAGGAAGGATTCTCTTTAACCTCTCCTGCTTGGTTTGCATTTTCACCTAGAATTATGCCTTTATATAAGTATTGGACAAATGGCAGATCACCATTGCTATTTGAAAAGAAAACACATTTTATTGGCTTCTTACACACGCCAACAGGCCCTATAGCTGCATTAGTTGGCTCCTGAATTTAAGTGATTTTTAACCCTCACCTTGTATCTTACTACTGCAGCTACTCTATGTGCTACAGCCAATTAAAATGTAGCCCTGGTTTTCCAGGGAATGTCAGAAAATGAAAGTAAGGTATTATGGAAAATAGAGTATAATCGTTTTTACAGTAAAGAAGGACAATATCCCTCACCCTTTGGTAGGATCCACCACAATGTCACGTGGCTTAGCCAGGCCTTCTGTGTGGAGAGTTTTACGTTTGGTTCCAAGTGTGTTGGCCACAGAGATAGTGCCATAGACAGAGTCTGTCCAGTAGATGTTGGCATGGATCCAATCGACAGCAATACCGTCTGGGGCTTGGATCTCGTTTCCAATCACAGTCTCATGGTGAGAAAAGTTATGAGCCTTGTCCATGAAGGCACTGTAGAAGAAGAGAGAGAGAGGAACTTGATTAGTTCTAATCTTTGTTACATAACTCTTCTCGGTTGAATGTTTTTCCACGTAACATCGGTCCCTCCTGCCTTACCTGTAAATTTTCTTCTGCGATAGATCAGACCAGTAGATTCTTTTGTTGGCTATCTCCATATCTAAAGCCACCACATTCTTCAGACGAGGGATGAAACTAGTGTACTCTCGCCTGTCCAGCGTCATCTTCCTTACTTCATGGCGGTTGGTGAAGAACAAGTATGCCACCGTTCCTAGAAAGAGAACGATACAGCATCTTCAGATAGATGTCTTCACAATGCCATTTCTGTGCAGTCAAGAATGTGACAACTCAGCATGTGGAAAGAAACGATGGGTGGCCTTAAGGTGTACTCACCGATGCCCTTGCAGGAGCCAGTTGCTGGATCTATTTGATAGCCTTCATTGCATTCACATTTGTAACTTCCTTCGAGGTTAATGCAAATCTGACTGCAAATGTCAGGATTTTCACATTCATTGATATCTGAATGAAACAAAGCAGAATATTATTTTAGGAGAGTACAGAATTCAAGGGTTTTGCACAACTACTTCCTGTTATTGCTGTCTGAGGAACTAATTGATTCCCCCATCACTTCCTATCCTGATGGCATCCTGTCACACCCTTACTGCAGAACAAGTGAAGAAAAATCTCCCCAGTGAGGTTCTAATCCCTTTCCATGCTTCTTAAAAAGAAGATGTCCTCTTACAGAACGTGACAGACAAGTAGTCAGGCAATATTTACCCAACAGATCAAGACATTTCCAAAGCCAAGCTGACTAAAGAAAATATATAAGTGCTACAAGTATACTTATAAACACTCGAAGATAAGAGTGTTGGTATAAGCTGACAGTTCTAATAATTCAATAATAAAGGAACAGAATTTCCTGGTTCCCCATTCTATAATTAATTGTCTATATGATCCAATGGACTGAGCTCCACTTTACAAGTCGTGCCTCTTGATGTTCAGCTTGAAAAACTGCTACAGGTGTAATTGTATAAAAAAAAAAAATAGTCAAAGGAAGCCCCAATTACCTTCACATTTCCTTCCATCCACGAGTCGATAGCCCTCTGTACATAAACACTCATAACCGATCTTTAGGTCTTTGCAGATGTGTGAACATCCACCATTGTTCTTCAAACACTCGTTTTCACCTTCAGGAAGGAAAGAAGATAGTCGTTTTAGTGGGTCTAGATGAAAATCTGTTCAGAGATTACAGAGAAGGAAGGTGTTGTAAATATCGATCTACTGAACAAATGGGAGACTTACCACATTCCTTTAGGGGCTCATCGCTCCAGTCTCTGCAGTCTCGTACACCATTGCACACTTGGTCCATGTTGAGACACTCTCCGCTATGACACTTGAACTTGTTTGGACCCCCACATTTTGTCACTGAAAGGATAAAGAGAAGCAGTTTATAGCAATATAGAACAGATGGGTAAAAGAGAAATAAGCATGATGATTAAGTCTCAATTCACACCACTATGGGGAAAGCTTGCAGATCGAACGTGTCTGCGAGCGAAGTTCACAGTTCACAGTAGATGGAGCCGAGGAGCACAGGAAATTGGCTCCTCGTTCAGGGACTGGGACCAATGAGTATTTATGTGGTATGATGTTCTTTGTAAAGCGCTGAGACTAAACCAGATTGGATGCTTACCATTTACACATCCCATCTCATCACTAAAATCGTCACAGTCATGTTCTCGGTTGCACTGCAGACTGCCATGAATGCACTTGCCGTCATTGCATTGGAATTGATCTGGGCTGCAGGTTGGTTTTTCTGTAAATACACAAGATGCATAAAAGTTAGTCAGCCACATATCACTTTGCTGTCACTCATTAGTAAGATGGCCGTAGAGACCTCTCATACATACCACAGTTTTTTTCATCTGACTTGTCTTTGCAGTCAAAGCCTCCATCGCACTTCCAGCTCATGTGTATGCATTCTCCGCTGCCGCAGTGGAACTGCAGTTTAGAGCAGGGTTTGTCTGTCTTGATTGGCTCTTTCCCTTCACAGTTTTCCTCATCGGAGCCGTCTTCACAGTCTGGATCTCCATCACAGGTCCACAGCTTAGGGATACAGACGGTGGAGTTCTTGCAATTGAAGAAGTTTGGATTGCAGGTTGGGGCTGGACAAGATTCTTCGTCACTGCCGTCATCGCAGTCGCGGTCCTCGTCGCATACAAATTCCAGGGAGATACACATTCCACTCTTGCACTGATACTGGTTATCGGAGGCACAGGGCTCGGGAGCTGCAGAAAATGAGACAGGCCAGTTAGACGTACCGCACATATACCATCACTAGACCCTCACCATTGATGTTTTATGACTTAACATGTTCAGTGCTTTCCTTTAACATGATACACATGCATGTTTAACGGTTAGCATGGTATTTTATCAGTTATGTCTATAGGCAGCAGATATTAATAAAACTGAACTCCAGGCAGATATGAAAGACACAAATTAATGAAGCTCTTTATCATTACATTTATTTTTTAAATGCAAGTTAGCGAGAGACGCAGCACAGTGACAGTGCTCATAAACTAACAAAGGACATGCTGATATGAGGAGAAAGCAGGGTGACAGAGAGATGAGCTCATCAGTCTGCTGCTTCTCCTTCATTGTCCATTCACAGGCTGGGGGCGGGACAAGACCTGCTGTAAGTGTTACTTAACTGCAGCAGAGCGGAATCAGGTCTCCTGTCCTGCCAGGCCGGATTGTGCTGTGTGGCAGAGCTGTGTAAATATGCTTATATATATATAGATATATATGTATATATATCTATATATATATTTACAATTTTCCATATATGTTTTTTTTCAACTGGGCTTTTAAATGGTTGCCTGGAGTCAGTGGCGTCACAAGGGGGTGTGGCCTG